CTCAAAGAAAAAAGAAGAAAAGTAAAGTGGAGAGAGAGAGAGACGCTCCCTCTACAGGAAAAAGCTAAGAATCACTGAGCTCCTCAAGAATGCTAGGTTATCTGAAACACGGAAGGAAGTGCTAACCAGGAAGTGGAAAATATTGAGCTTAAAGTTAAAGGACTCATACAAGATCCAGGAGAGTCAAGAGGATTAAAAGCGATTAGCGAAATTGAAAGAAATTCAAATATTTCTTTTCATATGCCGAATACACGGCAAAAACCACATCAAATATAGGGCCCTGCTCAAGAAGATGAATCCTACACAGATGACAACAAAGAAATGAGTGAGTACTCAAATATCAATATATAGACAATACACAAATAACCCGCACATAAAAGACAGAAGCTTACGACGACGTTTCGGTCCGACTTGGACCATTGACAAAGTCACACAACAGAGGAGAGCAGGGACGGCTATATATAGGCAGGAAGAGTGGAGGTAGTAGTAGTGGTAGTAGTAGTAGTAGTAGTAGTACAAGAAAATTTTATATAATACCGACAGGATGAAATGACACATGCACAACACCCGGGCATCCCCACCGTAGACGTTTTCGCCATCCAGCCAGCCACTGGATGGCGAAACGTCCACAACAAAGACAACCAGAAAGCCGCACATGTGTCTAATTTCATTTAGTAGACGTAGTAGAAAAAGAAGAGGTAGTAGTAGTGGTAGTGGTTGAAGTGGGAAATAAGGAAGACGAAGCCAGTCAAATACAAAGGAAGGGGAGCAAATGCAAAGAGCTAGAAACCCACAGAGGGAGAGCAAGCGCACAGAGGTGCGTTAAAGGGGAAGTGGTGAAATAAAATAAAGAAGGAACAGAAACACGAGACAGAGAGAGAAAGACAACCCAGAGGAGAAAAGGAGAGAGGAAAGGGGAAGAGGAAAGAAGAAAAAGAAGAAGAAGAAGAAAAATGAGGATTCAGGTTAAGTCACGGGTGTTCTGAAGTTTGGAGCATTTTACAATGTATGGGAGACTCCAAACACATCATCGTAAGACACAGTCGCTCCTCACCTCAAGAAGTGTTCCTTCGATCCCCGTAGGGGAGGGGAACCTATAGTCATCGTACCAGCGCCTGACTTACTCCTTCATGATGCTTGCAAACCGTGTAAGGATCAAACCCACAGTGGAGTAATAAATGGACTCACTAAACTTGCCCTTGCTGCCGTTGTAAAGACTTGCCTACAGGTAAATTTACAGCCATCAACTCGACAAAGACTCATTCATCGTCGTCTGTCCCGGGACGATTATGAAGCCACAAAGCTAAATCGCCGACACTTCTATGAAAACCCTCAGAGACCGACAGTTCACCATCTCCCCTTCACCTTTTTTGCTGGCGAAACGTTCCGTTTTTGTCAAACGGCTGGACAAACTCGTCACTTCTTTATAAACTGAGGATCTCAAGACCCCTATCGAGGGAAAAAAATACCTGGGCGTCGATTGAACATATCACCAAATCCCCAAACGCCTCTACAATGACAAGCAAAACCTTCTCCAACATCGAGATGGCTACTAGAGCACTGTCTGACGGCCTAGCTATCTCCTACTATCATATCCAACCAAGTCACATAGAACCCGAACGTTTCGCCCACATCTCGCCCTGCTGGAACCCGCTACTCCTATCACCACTCAACGCCTGACTGTCCTCTGAAAGGGGGAAAAAATACTGCACAAAATGCGGTAAAGACGGCCTGACTTTTAAGGAATGTTCTACTACCACTACCTTCCTACCTGCCTCAACTGCAGGGGTACTCACCCAAAAACCCTTGCAGCAAAATGCCCTCACGTAAGAAGTCCGTCTAAGAAAATCATTGAAGAAACCAAGAAGAACAACCCTAAATCGCCAACATAAAGCCGCCATTGCAAAAATTCAATCAGGTACCACCGAACTCCTTCAAGCACACAACAATCATCTCCACCCAGCCAGTCCCCCCTTTCTCTCCTGACGCTGTTCCATCCAAGGTGGGTATACTTATGATGTATGCACACCTTAATAAAGCTGCAAACCCTGGCTCATTCAACACGACAATCAATGAACTGTTTCGCCTAAACAACATGCCCAAAATTCAACTTTCCCCGACTCGCCTCCATCACAAGACCTCCTCAAGCTAATTCCAGATATTGTTAACTTCACCTCAACCCCTGGTCCTACTCGTATCTCTGACCAAGACTCTACTCCAGAACCAACACCACCGTCTACTGCCACCCCCACCCCCCCACCACCAGCCCAAAAAAATCACAACCGACCAACACTCCCTGCCTCCTCTCAACACGTCACAGAAGACGAAATATTACCAGAAAAATTATGAACAACCCTCGGACAACGACGAAGTAGTAGTCGAAGAAGAAACCACACGCAACCGTTACCTAAGCCAAGCCTTTAATGGTTCTCTAACCTTCTAACACCACCCCCAACCTCCCAACCGAAATGAGCGCAGCTGATATGCTCCACTTAATGAAAGAAGGAGCTGTTAAGTACACCTGCACCAAACCTCACCAAATTTTCCTTTGAAAACGCACTATCTTTCCTCGTGACGAATCTGAACTGCTCCAACCTCAGAATGCAACTATTCCACATGTCCAAGAAGACTTCAAAAGACTCAAGAGTGGCTCCATCACCAGCGAAGTGTAGCCAAACACACAACCACCCTTCCCAACACCTGACGTCCAAACCAGCTCTTCACCTCAGCCTGTAGCATATCAGTCACGAGCACTGTCTGCAGTCCTGCTCTCTCCTCTATGTCCTCAACAGGGCCCCCTCTACACTGCCTCGCAGTGCCACGCCCGCTGGGTTTAGCCCTGGCTCTTTATTCTACAACCAAAACCTTCCTCTCACGACTGTTCATCGCTGTCCACACTTCCCCACTCACCCACCGGAGTCCCAACAGAAGACCCGCTATGTGTGTTCTCAATGTCTGTCCCACGATCGACTTAGCTGCTGGGTTAAGCCCTGGCTCTATTTCTACTACTAAGAACACTCCTCTCCAGCACTATTCTTCGTCTGTCCCGCCTTCCCCGCTCATCCCATTTGGGATCTTACCTGAACTTTCGTTCGTTCGTTCCTCTGTTAGTGTGACTTTGTCAATGGTCCAAGTCGGACCGAAACGTCGTCGTAAGCTTCTGTCTTTTATGTGCGGGTTATTTGTGTATCGTTCCAGTCACGGTATTGTGCCTTTTTGTTATTTAGTTATTAATGATAGACAATCCAAATAACTTTTCTCATGAATGAGTCTAAAACCGTGTCAATGTATACTAAATTTCTGACATAAACCCTAACTCCACTAGACTTCGAGAGAGCCACTGATAACATGCCCATGCACTCAGCCCCAGGCCCAGACTCGAGGAATCCTGTGTTCATTAATAACTGCAACAAACCCCTTTCACTGGCCCTAAATATGCTATGGAGGAGCATGACACAGGTGTGATTCCACAGTAATGAAAACAACGGATATAGCCCCACTCCATAAAGATGGCAGCAAAGCAATAATATAATAATATCTTTCTTTACTACGGGTACATGTACAAGGTATACAGACTTAGCTGACATCAATGACATACTATTATATAGAAAGTCGCTTGTTGTGCAGACCATTTCGGGAAAATTAGGTCAGTTTTGTCCCAGGATGCGACCCACACCAGTCAATTAACACCCAGGTACCCATTTTACTGATGAGTGAACATAGGCAACAGGTGTAAGGAAACACGTCCAATGTTTCCACCCTTTCGCAGGGAATCGAACCCGGACCCTCACCGTGTGAAACGAGAGCTTTTGCCACCAGGCCACGGGGCATCGTAAGCTAAGTACTACAGAGCAATAGCTTTAACGTCCCACATCAAAAAAATCTTTGAAAGAGTTCTAAGAAGCAGGAATGCAAGCTACTTGGAATCTCTACAGTTGCACAGTCCAGGGCAACATGGGTCCAGAGCAGGTCGCTCCTGCCTCTCGCAACTACTGGACCACTATGATATGGTCTTGCATGCACTGGAAATCAAACAGAATGCAGATGTAGCATACACAGATTTTGCAAAAGCTTTTGATAAGTGCGACCATGGTGTAATAGCACACAAAATGCATGATAAAGGGATAGCTGGCAAAGTAGGCAGATGGATCTTCAACTTTCTAAGCAATCGAACACAAAGAGAAGTGGTAAACAGAGTTAAATTGAAAGCCGCCATAGTGAAGAGCTCTATTCCACAACGCGAAGTACTCGCCCCTATTCTGTTCCTCATCCTCACATCAGACATAGACAAAGATGTAAACCATAGCACCCTATCATCGTTTGCAGATGATTTAGGATCCTCATGAGAGTGTCATCCATTGAGGACACGGCAAATCTCCAAGAAGATATAAACCAAGTTTTCCAATGGGCAATGGAAAACAATATGATGTTCAAAGGAGACAAATTCCATCTACTCCGTTATGGAAAACTGGAGGAAATAATAATTAGGACTGAGTATACTACATTTGCAGCAATGTATTCAAGTTGGATGAGGTTATATTTAGAAATGAAACATTAAAGCTGTAGTTTGACAAAACTCATACACTAAAAATCAACAACTGTTGTTGTTGTTGTTGTTGTTTTTCAGTGTATGAAGCGAATTAGTTAAGCAGCGTGATTTTTCAAATATTCATGTGAGAATGTTGTCTTCCATTGTATAGGTTAAATAAGTTGACAGATAAGTTAAAAAAAAAAGCTCATCACCGAGCGAAAATAAAACTTGTCCTTGTATAAAGATTTTCTCCTTAAATAACACTTTCTTTCCACGTTGGTAAGTGTTTGTTGAAGTTATCGTGGTATTGTATTTTTATGGAGCATACAAGTTTATCCTGAATTACTAAACAAACATTTTCAGATATAACTGATAAACCTAACTAAATGTAACAGAAATACATTGAGAAAATATCAGGAAAATATTCCCCAGAATAACTGATGTACAACAAACAGAAATTATAGAGGAAAGTGAGACAGGTGTTTAGTGCTGCAACATTTATTCCATGAATATTAATTGATGACGTGACCTACTGCAAGCTGGTTAGATTCCACTCACCGGCACCGTCAAGTTGTCTCGTCCTGGGAGGAACAGATCAAAGAAGATTATGCATAAGTAGGACACATAAGTAGTACCTTATTTAGAGACTTTTAGCTTGGAGATCAAGCTCTTGGAAGTGTCCAAATTACTGAGGAGAGGAGTATGTTAAACACATTGAGGGTGTAGTATTCTCACATGTCCAAAAGAGGTCATATTTTGACTAGGATATTAAATAATTTGCTCTTTCTGTGAATGAAATGCCGATATAATTTATAATGTAATAAATATCTCACTCAGTGGCCGCATCTTGTAAGAGAAACTTGGTACAGAACGTATGATCATCACATAATTATTACCCTTTTTAAAAAATT